TTGAAATGATTTTATTCACTGAGAGAGTTTTCGTTCGTTGGATATTCATTGTGTGAATTTCTCTGTTGTCAAACAAATAGCTATATGCAAACAACGGTATTCAAATAATACAAAGTTTATGCTTGTCTTGAAGTTTTGAAAATGTGTTTTAGCAGATAAAAGAATTTTGCAAGTATGTAAATTTCAAATCAGGATTAGAGTAAGCCTTACAGAAGTCAGGATACCTTTTGTAACAATATGCTATTGAACTAACCCATGCTTTAATTAGGACTTTTGAAGGGTTGTAATGTGGCTTGGTTCACGGTTTAAGAAACAAAGGATAAGGCTCAAAGTGTATTTGTACCCGCCCTTTCTTCATGATGTTCTTCAGTCTTAAACTCAGTTAATTGTACGTTTCAACTCCAATTTAGTCCGGAATGGCGTTTTGGTGATGGTTCAAAATTTTGGAAGTTTTGTTGGAAGACAGTCATTCTTTCAACATTTTTCATGTTGTTGAGGATTTGTAGTGACTTATTTTTTGGTTTATTATCCCTGATTTTTGCCTGACTGTTCTTGTTTTGAGATTACAGTCAGCAGGATGACCCAATTTTCTTAAGTCTCCTCCACAGGTTTTGACTTAGTGGGATTTTCTTTTGAGAGATAATGATTTCCTATGTGATAAGGAAACATCACCGTCTTTTGATTCCAGAGGAAAGTTTTTAATATTACTCATTGTATACGAAGTGAAAGTTTGCGAATGACGCACACTTGAATCAACTGAGAGACTACCCTGCCCTAGGTTTTGATTAAAGGTTTCAATTTGTATAAAAAGGAAACTCCTACTTCTTAGGCTTAAGGGGGTTGACTAGGGATTATCCTCCTTATAACTCCTGTGTTTAGGAATTGAAAGAAACACCTGTACATCGTTAGCAAGGTCTGTCCAAAAGTATACTGTATAAGATTATGGCATTGTTTTCGTCATCCTCCCTCTAAAGGCTTGCAACTTTTAAAACAAGAGTTGAATATCATAAAGGGAATAAAAAGCATAATTTAATTAGAACGAAAATTAATGGATTAATTCAAGACAAACATATTTAATGCATTAATGAAAATGACCAAAGTCTGACATATAGATAAGTGTTTAAGTAAACAAAGAAATTCCAACTGAAAATTCGAATAAACAAAATATTTTCTCGCCCAGATCGTCACTTCATTTGGATGCCTTTGGGGGGTGATAAAAAATCTCCAATTGACCGTCTTGTGCAAATTCCAACGCTCCTTTGTCGACCAGGTCTTGAATCTTGTTTTTCAACATCCAACAACTATCAGTATCATGCCCCAGACTGTTGGGGTGATATGCACATCTTTCATTGGGATGATAACTAGGAGCAACAATGTTAGGATTCCGAGGAGGATCCTTCAGTGTGACAAAATTCAGATTCAACATGTGTAGCAAGACTTGCGACATTGGCATGTTGAGTTGGGCGTATTACCTATTGGGTGCATTTTGTTTATGTCGATTACCATGTCCTTGTTGACGAGGTGGTTGTTGGTCTCATGACGTGACATCAAATTGGAAAGGTCTACTTTCCACCAAACCGACTCCTTGCCTCATGGGAGGTTGAATGATGACTTGATCCCCAATCTCGACGGTTTGTTTCATACGGTTGTAACTGTCTTGATGAATTTTGTTGACGAGGGTCCTTAGCTCCTCTTGTCCCTGAGCTAAGTTTTGGATAAGAGCCATCTGGCCCACCAGTTGACCCATCATTTGGACTTTCATTGTTTCCATTTCAGTTTGTAGCCGGTCCAACTGGTCATCCTTGTTGTCCTCAGGATTCCCCATGATCATGCCCCTAGTGAGGAGTCCTTTCACCTCTTCTTGTCCCTTGGACAAGTTCAAGAACATTTCCTGAAGTTGAGCATTTTGAGTCTGAATGTCGTTGATAGTCTGTTCTAGAGCCATCTCTACTGAAATAAACAGTAAGCAGATGAGAGACTTGTGTCGGGAAAACCTATCATGGTATGATGCATGTTATGTGGATGCGATGTTTTCAAGGATCTCGCAGGGTAAACACAAGAAGATGTTTAGAAGTTAAACTTTGATTACATCTTTCGCATTGTTGAATGTCCTTATACGAGAATCAAGCTCACCATGTCAATTGGATCATAGCCCTTGACTCAAGTTACTGTGCTTTGGTCTTTGATGGCGTTTGATTAGAGAATGAATCATCTTTTCCCCTTGATAGACGTCTAGTTCAACATGACCCTGCATCATAGGCCTTTGAGATCCTTAAAATGGTTATTGAAAATGCTATGGTATGATGTCATGATGTTATGTACAAGCATGCAAAGCAATCAAGTTGTTATGTACAAATAGTCATTTACACACAAAGCAGACAAGTCCTTCGCGGTGAAAATCGAAGATCAAGCTATTAATTAACTTGACTCACAAAAGCAAGAGTCGCCACCGCGCTTTATTATTTCCAAGGGAAAAGGGAAAAGAGCGAAATAAAACCCTAAAATATGCAATGTAAAATAATACTTAAAAGTAATAAAAATACAATGCGTTTTCGAAAAGAGGTCTATGGTTCGGGGGTTGGTTATACAATGGGAAGGTATTAGCACCCAATGCATCTGCGGTACTCTGCAGGAACCTTTTGAAATACCTGTTTTTTGGTTAAAATTGTTTGTTTGATTAAAATGGTTCGTTTGGCTAAAAATCGGTGTTGGAGAGATTTTGAAGATACGACGACCTAGTGTCGAAATTTTGACTTAAAAAGTGTGAGTTTGAAAATGGAGTCTTTTGGGAAAATTATCTTGAGTTTAGCAAAATAGTAAACAAACAAAAAAATGAAAAAAAAAGGTATTCGCACGATCGGATGAGATGCATTTGATGACGTGAAGTCAACAAATTTAAATCTTTCCCTTGGAGTTAAAACCACAGACGGATAAATAAGCTAAGAGTATATCAAACCTTAGGTGAAAATAAATCACAAGCCGACAGCATCATCAAAAAACCTAATGTGAGATAATACTCCAAGCATCAGATAAAGCGCAAAGGCGGTGGATAAAGCTCACGGTGTCAGATAAGAATCCCTGCATCACAAGAGATATACCGACAAAATCTAACAGCACGGGAAACTTATGTGCGTCCGTACAATTTTCAGAAGTTAGTTGGAATTTAAAAATAAAATCACAATGCGATGAAAATAATATTTTCAAAACCTGAATTTATTTACAAGTAAAATATACAGTCAAAATATTATGTACAAGTATATATTTACAGTACCAAATATTAAATCAAGGTAGTAACGTAAAAAGGGAATAAAGAAAAAGTATAAATGCGCTATGCGAGAATGAACGCTTGAAACAATTCTCGGAAATCTTCACAATAAACAAACTTGTTAGTAGCATAAGCGGTACAGAAATGAAAGTGAATGAAATTGCAACAATTAAAGTCTATGTTAGAAATCACAAATTAAAGAATTGAAATGAAATTGTATGAATGGACATGAATATTCACACAAATAAGAACCAAGATGAATTGAATCAAAAGTCACAAATTTAACACAAAACAACACACATTTAAACAAACTATCAAGAAGAGGAAAGTTCACAAGAAATAATTCTAAACAAAAATTATTAAAAAAATAAACACTATTAAAACAAAGAACTATTAATTTGAAGTTATTTTTTATTTAAAATGATTATCTAATCAAAATTTTACCAAAAAATCTATGAAACTACTTGATTGATATTGTTTTTTTTTTCTTTCAAAAAAAACTAAACAAAACAGTAAAATAAATATTAATAAAACTGATATAAATTTAGAATTATAAAAACAAACAAAAGAGTCTAAAAGAAAATAAGGATGAAATAAAATAATAAAAAGAAAATAGTCACCATTTAAACTATGTCTAGATGATCATAAGTAACTACAGAATGCATAAAAAGAAAGATGAATAGAATAAAACCTTAAAATTGATTCCCCAAATTGTAATAGTGCCCTAAGCACGTTCACCGCGGATACGGCGAGCCAATTGAATATCCTTGGGCATAATGGTAACCCTCTTAGCGTGAATTGCGCACAAATTCGTATCCTCAAACAAACCAACAAGATAAGCCTCTGCTGCTTCCTGAAGTGCAAGAACCGCATGGCTCTGGAATCTCAGATCGGTCTTTGAATCTTGAGCTATCTCACGGACAAGACGCTGGAATGGAAGCTTCCGTATCAAAAGCTCTGTGCTCTTCTGGTATTTATGAATCTCACAAAGAGCGACAGTTCCAGGGCGATAACGATGAGGCTTCTTGACTCCACCGGTTGTCGGCGTTGCGTCAGCTGTGTTTTAATGGTGACAGATAGAAGGCGTACGCGGAGGACACGGTTCTGGTATGAGAAGGCTTCATCGGAGTCAAGGGATGTGTTTGCAGGGGTGAGAGGATGGTTGGATGAAAATGGTGGTGGTGAATTGAAGATGGAGGTGACGGTAGAAAGGGTGTTGTGCGGAGATCAGAGTGGTTCGGTAGTGGCGATGTGGAGCTGTTACGGAGACGGATCGAAGGACGATTTGAATCGGAGGGAACAATGTAATGGGTTGCTGTTCAGTAGGTGGGGTTACGATGAAGGTGGGTGGATTTGGTAACTGGAGGTGGCTAAGCGGAAGTTGGGAATTGGTGATGACGTGATGATGATGGCGGTGTATGTTGGCGAGGGGATTTGCGAAACAGTGGCCGTAATTGCATAAACAAGGGAGGTTGTGCATGAAATCGATGAAGGGTGTATGTGAATGGTGAAGCGTTGAAGGTTATTCACGGTTGGGAGGATTGAAAGTTCAATTGACAGAGACGGAGGGAGCGGCTAGTTAGCTGGATTGTGCGATTTGTTTGAGATAAAAGGTTTTATCGTGAGGGATATTGTGAGGTAAATTTATGGGAGGTTCCGGTTTGTATTGACAGCAGAGAGGGAGTATATGTTGTCTCTGTCAAAATACACAAATATAAATTGGAAGGGAGGACGAATGTTATTGTACAGTGGGGGTGAGCTTCGTGTGTGGCGTTCGAAGGATGAAGAGGGTTGTTTGGTGGATTGCGAAAGTGAGAGCGCGAAAGGATGTACATAAGGAAATTGAATGGGTTTCTGTGTTTCCTGTATTATCAATTGTTTTGGATCCCCCAGGTCCACTCTCTGTCCTTGAAACCAATGATGCTGGGCGTGAGGGGGAGATAAGTGGGTTGGAGTTCGTGAAGCGGTTGTGTGTTGTAGAGACGCCATTGTTGGCGTGGGTAGAGGAAGAAGGGTGAGATGCTGATGAGTGGAAGTATGAGTTATTGTTGGTGTTGTTCTAAATAGAAGGTTATGAATTGAAGGGAGAAACAGGGTGGTATTGATGATGCAGTTCGGTGAGTTTGATGAAGGTGACGGGAAATGCTACGGTGGGTTACAGTGGCTAAAGGTGTATTGATGGGTTAAGGGGTAGTATGAGAGAGAGAGAGAGAGATATGGGTGTGGGAAGGGATGAAGAAAAATGGGTTAGTGTTACTGTAAGTGTTGTTTTAGTGTGTGAGGAAAAGGAAACAAAGTGAAGTCTGGGTAGTAAATGAATGGCATGAGAAAGTGAGGCAGAAAGCTAGCTACTGTATGTGTATTCTATTTTTTCGCAAAGATAATAAGAGGCTTTATATAGGAAATGAAAAGGAAAAATATAATCTGAAATCACATCCGTTCAAAACTTCAATTCTGTTTTTGGCAATTTTGTATCGATCCTCAATTTCATCCAACAACCAATAGGAATAGAGCATAGTGTAAATAATATATTTTGTGATCACATAGTCCTTAAATGATAAAAATAACCAAAAAACTAAATGTATTAAAATTAACTCAATTTAAAATGATTTCTTTTTTGAATATTTTATGAATAAAAAATAAAGACCCAAAATGACCGAAAATGATAAAAAATGGACGAAAATTTATCCGAAAAAATAAAATGAACACATTAAAATAATCTACATGTCACAAAGATTAAAGAAAAAAATATTCAAGAAGTCAAAAATCAAAAATAAAATAATAATAAAAATATCAGACTAAACAGACGTTTAAGGTTAAAACGAGACTTCGAACTGTACCGAAAAAATAAAGCGAGCATACCGTCATAATCTACGCGAAGCGCAGATTCATAAAATGATCGGTAAAAGGTGAAAACTTGAAATATTTTCTCGCTACTTTCCCGCATAGCGTCGAATCGCTTTTAACAGTCTGTCTATAAAACCGAAATATTTTATTATCGACATATAAACAACTTGGATCAGTGCAAGAAAATAGTAAACGGATAAAAATGAATGAAATGAAATGCCGGGTATTTTACAACTGAAAGACAATGCAAACTTTGATTTAAACTGACTTTTTCTGGTCAATTTAAATACGACTAATGATGCAAAATGTGATGAATGAAGATATTTACTAATGATCGTGACCAAATAACAAAATATGATATGAAAGTGCGACTAAAACATATTAGGGGCGAAATTAAGGGTGCAACGATTGTGCCTTGATGAATCAGTCTTCGAGAATCCACAATCAACCGTACTTCGGGCTTGGGGGACTCAAAACCTTAATTGAGGCGCGACACCTGATGCTCTTGATTAAGACCTGTCTCTACACATGAAGCAAAAGAAAACATGAACATACACCTTTGTATGCGATTAGAAATTAGTGATACATAGGCTAAAAATGTTCAAAACACTTGACAATCTTCGCATAGTCAAAGCTCGAAGGTGAGAGGTTAAAACCAACCGTATTTCGTGACCTTGACTTATCTTAAAATGAAAAAAAAAAAGGGATCTTAGGTCAAAAATTGGGGTACAACAGCTGCCCCTATTTAAGTTTCCTCTATTTGGAGATATGAAGATTGGGATCTTCATTTCGACGAGATTGAAGGGACTTAAATATAGAATACACAATTTTTGGCCTTAAGATACCGCGATTATGTTCATGATATGATATGAATGTAATGCTCTGAATTTTATGGGGAATGACGCCATATGAGACAGACTATGCTGGAGAAACCAAGCACATTATACAGTAATCCCACAGAGGAAGAGGTTGTAACTTCACTGGGGAAACAGAGTCACAGACTTCAAATGAGAGACTCTTGAATGATTTACATCATTGTTGAGACTGGAAAAGGTAATGATTCACATCAGTACTGTGACTAGAAAAGCATATGATTGACATCAGTACTGTGACTGGAAAAGAAAGTGATGGACATCAGTACTGAGACTGGAAAATAATTAACATCAACACTGTGGGTGGAAAACAAAATGATTGACATCAGCACTGTGGCTGGAAAACAAAAATGATTGATATCAGCACTATGGCTGGAAAACAAAATGATTGACATCAGCACTGTGGCTGGAGATAAACATCTCTGATTTCTGAATTTTACCAAGAACGGTAACACATTTCTTCTTTAACCAAGATATCACTTGAAAAGGATAAAATAAACAAACTTCCCCACGGGACTTTTCCGAAGGGATGCCATTTGCTAAGTAGACATTATTGTTGGGGATACACAAGCTGCTCAAATAAAGAGGCCGCCACTTGCTTCCTTTCAAAGGTGTCAATAACATACAAGCTGCTCATAAAGAAGCTTCCACTTGTCGTCTTCAAAGAATATCAAAGCACACAAGCTGCTCATGAAGAAGCTGCCACTTGTTGACAATAACCCACAAGCTGCTCATAAAGAAGCTGCCACTTGCCGTTTTCAAGGGAACAATAACACACAAGTTGCTAAAATAGATAAGCTGCCACTTGCTGTCTTCCAAAAATACTAACGTACAAGCTACTCATGAAGAAGCTGCCACTTGCTGTCTTCAAAGAATATTAAAGCACACAAGCTGCTCATGAAGAGTCCGCCACTTGTTGCCAATAACCCACAAGCTGCTCATAAAGAAGCTGCCACTTGCCGTCTTCAAAGAATATCAAAGCACACAAGCTGCTCATGAAGAAGCTGCCACTTGTTGCCAATAACCCACAAGCTGCTCATAAAGAAGCTGCCACTTGCCGTTTTCAAGGGAACAATAACACACAAGTTGCTCAAATAGATAAGCTGCCACTTGCTGTCTTCCAAAAATACTAACGTACAAGCTACTCATGAAGAAGCTGCCACTTGCTGTCTTCAAAGAATATTAAAGCACACAAGCTGCTCATGAAGAGTCCGCCACTTGTTGCCAATAACCCACAAGCTGCTCATAAAGAAGCTGCCACTTTCCGTCTTCAAAGAATATCAAAGCACACAAGCTGCTCATGAAGAAGCTGCCACTTGTTGCCAATAACCCACAAGCTGCTCATAAAGAAGCTGCCACTTGCCGTTTTCAAGGGAACAATAACACACAAGTTGCTCAAATAGATAAGCTGCCACTTGCTGTCTTCCAAAAATACTAACGTACAAGCTACTCATGAAGAAGCTGCCACTTGCCGTTTTCCGTACAAGCTGCTCATGAAGAGACCGCCACTTACCGTTTTCAAAAAGTGTTGAGAACATACAAGTTGTCCATGAAGAGACTGCCGCTTGCTGTTTTTAAAAAGTGTTGATAACATACAAGTTGTCCATGAAGAGACCGCCGCTTGCTGTTTACTCTAAGGTATCAATAACATACAAGTTGCTCATGAAGAGACCGCCGCTTGATGTTTTTCAAGAGAACAATAACACACAAGTTGCTCATGAAGAGACCGCCGCTTGCTGTTTTTCAAGAGAACAATAACACGCAAGTTGCTCATGAAGAGACCGCCGCTTGCTGTTTTTCAAGAGAACAATAACACGCAAGTTGCTCATGAAGAGACCGCCGCTTGCTGTTTATTCCAAGGTATCAATAACATACAAGTTTCTCATGAAGAGACCGCCGCTTGATGTTTTTCAAGAGAACAATAACACACAAGTTGCTCAAGAAGAGACCGCCGCTTGCTGTTTTTCAAGAGAACAATAACACGCAAGTTGCTCATGAAGAGACCGCCGCTTGCTGTTTTTCAAGAGAACAATAACACGCAAGTTGCTCATGAAGAGACCGCCGCTTGCTGTTTATTCTAAGGTATCAATAACATACAAGTTGCTCATGAAGAGACCGCCGCTTGCTGTTTACTCTAAGATACCCATAAAATATCATGAAGATATTGCTGGAGGTGAGAATCAATAATTTCATCGAGGATGGACAAACTGCTCATGAAGAGACCGCCATTTGTCATAAAGAAATCAGAAATAATCAAACTGCTCAAATAAAGAGTCAGTCGCTTGTTGTCATGTCGATATTCCAGAAGAAGGTTGTGATAACACTACTAGGGAATAAAGTTCATCTTCAATGGGAAACTAAGAATGGATCCTTCCTGAGAAGACCGAGTATTTACATTGCAAAATAAATGCACTCTCCATCTAGGTTTCACAGCCTAGAGATATCCACAGGGTATCGTTCACAAGAGACAAAGCTCAATCCAGGAATAAACTGGAGAGAAAAACAGTCAAACAAGACTCCACCCAATGAGGAAACAACTCAAATGGGGATTTATCCTATCCAGAGATGGAAAAGGAAAGCTAAAGCAAGATTCTTCCACGAGAGTTAACTCAGTGGGGAATTAGAAAGAAGGCGCATTTTCTGCTTAAGTTGGCACTCTATTTGGAAAGATCAAATACATTATTTGAATAGACCCAAACAAGGTATACGAACTCAATGACATCAAAAAATACAACTGTGCGTGCATGATGCAAGTGTGAATGAATAAATGAATGCCATCTATGTGCTGACAAAACAAATAGACAAGATAAACTGGAGATGACAAGACATCATAGCACAACCCAACACTCGGCTAATCTCAACAGGATGGGAACCTTACTGGAGATAAAACACAGGCCATCATTGGAGCAAGGTCCTTTTACAAGGCTTAAATATCTCTGGAGAGGAAGATATTTTCAGGTAGAAAACCCAAAGTCCAGTCTTCTATGGCAAACAATCCATTGAAAGGATAACAACACAAACAAAGTTTCAGCTGGAAAGAAGTCTTGCTTAGCTGGAGATACTGGGAACACCACCCTCTGATAATGTATGAAAAACATATCTTGACAACTCTAGATTGCCCCCAGGATTAATTTTGGATGCCCCAAGTTTACGGCTGATAAGCTGCGTGTTGCACGACAATTCTTGCGAATAACTTTACCTCTAAAATGCCCCGAGCTACATGGTTGATGAGGAGAAATCGTCTCAAGAGGATTTTACAAAAGACCTGGCATTCACCATGCTCTGGTGTCTTCAAACTCTTAGAGAGATTCATCAAATCTTTACGTGATTGCCCCGAATTGACTGTAGTTGGTACAACAAAGTCTTCAAATTTTGCCCCAGCAGGGTAAACACGTTGGAGAAGCATTAACTGGGAGAAGCAACATGTCTGTGCTTAAGGTCTTCATGTGGCATGCCTCTGGATATGATTTTTTGAAATGATTCGCCAATTGCTCAACATAGTTCCAGGCCTTAAAAGAATAAACTCATCACTGGTGCTTATGTGAGCTTCCTTGATATCAAACAAATGTTTTGCAATTAGAAAAAGTTTATTATAAGAATGAAAATTCTAATGCAACAGTTATGTAAGTCTTGAAGGTTTTGAAGAGATATCGCACAAATTTTGCGAGTTAGAGCACCATTTACTTTTGTATAGAAAAATCATATGATACCAACATAACTATTTAACAAACATTCATGGGAGTCAGGAACACTATCTCATGGAAGTATGCTTTCAAAATAACCTTGCTTCAATTAGGACTTTTGAAGGTTGTAACGTGGCCTGGTTCATGGTTTTTAGAAAAAAGATTTTTAAGGCTCAAAATATTTGGTGCCCACCCATTCTTCATGATGTTCTCCAACCCTATGTTCAGTTAATTCAACATGAGTGTTCATCTCTCAAAAGAATTTTGTGACGGTCAAGGAAACGACGAGGCTTTCAGAGTAGAAACCACCCTCATGTCTTCGTGTTTGTAGTCACCAATTTGTTCTTTGTTGAGGACTTTTCTTTGAAGTCCTTTTCTTTGCAATTTTATTTTCCCTAACTTTTGCCTGAACTAATTCTTTTGAATTGATAGTCCAGCGGGATGCCTTAATTTTGCCTAAGTCACACGTTTTCATGTTTTTTGACTTAGCAGGCTTCTTCTTTTTTTCTCGATTTTTGACTTTTTGAACAAAATGTGTGCCATTAGCTTGTCTTTGCTTGTGGAGAGGATTGTGATTGCCTCGTTTCTTGATGAATGAGGGATAACATTGTGGTTCCACATCCTCTAGATTCATTATACATGAAGGATAGCCCTCGTAGTTTCTCTTCAAAAAACATCTTCCTTATAAATTTTGAACACTCAGTCAGATTAACTAAAAACTACCCTGCCCCAGGTTAAAATTCAAGGTTTTTTCGTATAGAAAAAAAACTTCTGCTTCAAAGGCTCAAAAGGGGTTAGCAAGGGATTATCTTCCTTATATCTCCGGTGTTTAGGGATTTGAAACAATGCCTGTACATCATCAGCAAGATTTTATCCAAAAGCAAACAACCAGAGATTTTGTGTTCTTTAGATCATCATCCTCCCTTCAATCTCTGCCTAGGAAAGAGAATGGGCAACAAGTTGGTATCATAATGCAAAAAGAAATTTAAAATTTGAAAACAAATTTGAGTGAAACGAATGAATTTCTTCAAGACAAACATACCCATTGTATTAAGATAATCATTCAGATGCAAACAAGCTCTTACATGCAAACAATGTTTTGATAAACAAGAAAAATTACAAAAAGCATGATTAAGTTAATAATCTAGGAAGGCTTTCCATCTGGACTTGAATTACCGAAAACATCCTTCAAAACTCAAAGTGACCAACAATCGTGTTTACTCTTCGGCACATGCTTGATTTGAACTTCAAAACCAACGTTCTTGAATGACAAAATACCACTTCTGACCAACTTCTGAACCTCAATCTTCAAAGCAAAGCAACCCTCCAAGTCATGCCCAGGAGCACCTTGATGAAAGGTACAAGTCAAATTAGCTTTGTAGTACCAATGTATCTTCTCAGGAACCTTCGGTGGAGGTCAGGTCTGAACCAAATTCCTCTGCATCAGGATAGGGAACAACTCTGTATAGGTAATTGGAATTGGATCAAACTGGGTTTTCCTCTGATTAGGAACTTGCTGATTCTGTTGATGAATAGGAGAAACATGATGATTCTGATGATGATTATTTCTTCCTCTGGTTCTCTTCTTGGAAAAGTTATTATCAAACTTCTTCACACCATTAGCTGAGCTACCATCTTCATATGAACATCCCTTTCCGACATCTTCTTCTAGACGCACTCCCACATTCACCTTGTCAGGAAAGTCATTAGGTGCATTGACCATCACTTTCTCATGAGAGAATGATTTTAGAGTTTCAGTGAAGACCTTTTCCATCACTTCTTCTTTCTTAGAAGGATTGACTCGGGCGGCAACCAGAATTTCAACCAAACCAGTTAAGTGCTCCACACTAGCTTTCAAATTAGTCATCTCTCTGTGGAGTTCAGAAATCTCTTGCTTGATATTCTCCATTGTTCTCCTAGCGCGAGCGTTGCACTTGTCAGACCAAAAGGAAAAAAAAAGACTTGGAAAAAGACCTTTGAAAGTGGAACAAAAAAATGTAGGATGATGTACGATATGCAAAAGAGAGTTTTTATTTAATTTTCAAGGAACTCAAGATAGTAAGTTGTAAACATCAAAGTATGAATTTAAAAGATGAATTTTAAATTGGCTCCAAACATTGATCAAGTTATCATCAAGATCAATCATCCATTTTGGTGGATTAGGGTTTTCGCCCTATCAACACCCAAGATCCATTGAGCTTGACGAAACTTGTGATGTTTACAAAGAAAGACCTCCAAATTCCTTCAAAGTCAAGTGAAAAGGGTTTTATGGATGCGTGAATGCATGGCTATGCAACAACCACAAGCAAGGTCACAAATAGAGTCGAAAGGTTCAACGTCACGAGCATGGAGTCAAGGTAAGGAACACCCCCAAGGTATGTACTAACGGTTTAATCACACCTGTAGAACAAGGTTCTAAGAGTTCCCGGAGTCTACATTCCTCCTTCGGATATTACCAACGTCTTGATTACTCAATAATCAGAAATATTCTCAAGAGAAACTCATCCGAGCGTAACATCGCATAACAATTACTTCCGGATTACTCCGTTATAATCTCCGCGCTACACCTAAAAGGCCAAGATGGGTTAGGGTTCTACGGTTCCCAGCTTCTCTGGCTCCCAGGTCGAAAGCAATAATGTCTTCTCGATTACTCGGTAAACAAATACTACGTTCAAAGGGGCTTCCACTGAGTGGGGGATTTCATGCCTCCTTCTTCGGGATTACTCCCTCAAAGTTAACATGACTATACCGCCCGTCCTATTCCTAAGTGTAACTTAGTCCGGGTATAGGACTTGTCCTTTATAAATATCACCAACACTCAAATAACCACAATATATACACATAATCAAACAATCAAATAACAATAAAACAGATAAGACAAACTAGGCTTAACCCACTTAGGAATGGACCAGCAAGAGGTCAATCTTTCCCCAGCAGAGTCGCCAATTCTGTAGCGGTGAAAATCGGAGATCAAGCTATTAATTAACTTGACTCACAAAAGCAAGAGTCGCCACCGCGCTTTATTATTTCCAAGGGAAAAGGGAAAAGAGCGAAATAAAACCCTAAAATATGCAATGTAAAATAATACTTAAAAGTAATAAAAATACAATGCGTTTTCGAAAAGAGGTCTATGGTTCGGGGGTTGGTTATACAATGGGAAGGTATTAGCACCCAATGCATCTGCGGTACTCTGCAGGAACCTTTTGAAATACCTGTTTTTTGGTTAAAATTGTTTGTTTGATTAAAATGGTTCGTTTGGCTAAAAATCGGTGTTGGAGAGATTTTGAAGATACGACGACCTAGTGTCGAAATTTTGACTTAAAAAGTGTGAGTTTGAAAATGGAGTCTTTTGGGAAAATTATCTTGAGTTTAGCAAAATAGTAAACAAACAAAAAAATGAAAAAAAAAGGTATTCGCACGATCGGATGAGATGCATTTGATGACGTGAAGTCAACAAATTTAAATCTTTCCCTTGGAGTTAAAACCACAGACGGATAAATAAGCTAAGAGTATATCAAACCTTAGGTGAAAATAAATCACAAGCCGACAGCATCATCAAAAAACCTAATGTGAGATAATACTCCAAGCATCAGATAAAGCACAAAGGCGGTGGATAAAGCTCACGGTGTCAGATAAGAATCCCTGCATCACAAGAGATATACCGAAAAAATCTATTAGCACGGGAAACTTATGTGCGTCCGTACAATTTTCAGAAGTTAGTTGGAATTTAAAAATAAAATCACAATGCGATGAAAATAATATTTTCAAAACCTGAATTTATTTACAAGTAAAATATACAGTCAAAATATTATGTACAAGTATATATTTACAGTACCAAATATTAAATCAAGGTAGTAAGGTAAAAAGGGAATAAAGAAAAAGTATAAATGCGCTATGTGAGAATGAACGCTTGAAACAATTCTCGGAAATCTTCACAATAAACAAACTTGTTAGTAGCATAAGCGGTACAGAAATGAAAGTGAATGAAATTGCAACAATTAAAATCTATGTTAGAAATCACAAATTAAAGAATTGAAATGAAATTGTGTGAATGGACATGAATATTCACACAAATAAGAACCAAGATGAATTGAATCAAAAGTCACAAATTTAACACAAAACAACACACATTTAAACAAACTATCAAGAAGAGGAAAGTTCACAAGAAATAATTCTAAACAAAAATTATTAAAAAAATAAACACTATTAAAACAAAGAACTATTAATTTGAAGTTATTTTTTATTTAAAATGGTTATCTAATTAAAATTTTACCAAAAAATCTATGAAACTACTTGATTGATATTGTTTCTTTTTCTTTCAAAAAAAACTAAACAAAACAGTAAAATAAATATTAATAAAACAAATATAAATTTAGAATTATAAAAACAAACAAAAGAGTCTAAAAGAAAATAAGGATGAAATAAAATAATAAAAAGAAAATAGTCACCATTCAAACTATGTCTAGATGATCATAAGTAACTACAGAATGCATAAAAAGAAAGATGAATAGAATAAAACCTTAAAATTGATTCCCCAAATTGTAATAGTGCCCTAAGCACGTTCACCGCGGATACGGCGAGCCAATTGAATATCCTTGGGCATAATGGTAACCCTCTTAGCGTGAATTGCGCACAAATTCGTATCCTCAAACAAACCAACAAGATAAGCCTCTGCTGCTTCCTGAAGTGCAAGAACCGCATGGCTCTGGAATCTCAGATCGGTCTTGGAATCTTGAGCTATCTCACGGACAAGACTCTGGAATGGAAGCTTTCGTATCAAAAGCTCTATGCTCTTCTGGTATTTACGAATCTCACGAAGAGCGACAGTTCCATGGCGATAACGATGAGGCTTCTTGACTCCACCGGTTGTCGGCGTTGCGTCAGCTGTGTTTTAATGGTGACAGATAGAAGGCGTACGCGGAGGACACGGTTCTGGTCTGAGAAGGCTTCATCGGAGTCAAAGGGATGTGTTTGCAGGGGTGAGAGGATGGTTAGATGAAAATGGTGGTGGTGAATTGAAGATGGAGGTGACGGTAGAAAGGGTGTTGTGCGGAGATCACAGTGGTTCGGTAGTGGCGATGTGGAGCTGTTACGGAGACGGATCGAAGGACGATTTGAATTGGAGGGAATAATGTAATGGGTTGCTGTTCAGTAGGTGGGGTTACGATGAAGGTGGGTGGATTTGGCAACTGGAGGTGGCTAAGCGGAAGTTGGGAATTGGTGATGACGTGATGATGATGGCGGTGTATGCTGGCGAGGGGATTTGCGAAACAGTGGCCGTAATTGCATAAACAAGGGAGGTTGTGCATGAAATCGATGGAGGGTGTATGTGAATGGTGAAGCGTTGAAGGTTATTCACGGTTGGGCAGATTGAAAGTTCAATTGACAGAGACGGAGGGAGCGGCTAGTTAGCTGGATTGTGCGATTTGTTTGAGATAAAAGGTTGTATCGTGAGGGATATTGTGAGGTAAATTTATGGGTGGTTCCGGTTTGTATTGACAACAGAGAGGGAGTATATGTTGTCTCTGTCAAAATACACAAATAGAAATTGGAAGGGAGGACGGATGTTATTATACAGTGGGGGTGAGCTTCGTGTGTGGCGTTCGAAGGATGAAGAGGGTTGTTTGGTGGATTGCGAAAGTGAGAGCGCGAAAGGATGTACAGAAGGAAATTGGAATGGGTTTCTGTGTTTCCTCTATTATCAATTGTTTTGGATCCCCCAGGTCCACTCTCTGTCCTTGAAACCAATGATGCTGGGCGTGAGGGGGAGATAAGTGGGTTGGAGTTCGTGAAGCGGTTGTGTGTTGTAGAGACGCCTTTGTTAGCGTGGGTAGAGGAAGAAGGGTGAGATGCTGATGAGTGGAAGTATGAGTTATTGTTGGTGTTGTTCTAAATAGAAGGTTATGAATTGAAGGGAGAAACAGGGTGGTATTGATGATGCAGTTCAGTGAGTTTGATGAAGGTGACGGGAAATGCTACGGTGGGTTACAGTGGCTAAAGGTGTATTGATGGGTTAAGGGGTAGTATGAGAGAGAGAGAGATATGGGTGTGGGAAGGGATGAAGAAAAATGGGTTAGTGTTACTGTAAGTGTTGTTTTAGTGTGTGAGGAAAAGGAAACAAAGTGAAGTCTGGGTAGTAAATGAATGGCATGAGAAAGTGAGGCAGAAAGCTAGCTACTGTATGTGTATTCTATTTTTTCGCAAAGATAATAAGAGGCTTTATATAGGAAATGAAAAGGAAAAATATAATCTGAAATCACATCCGTTCAAAACTTCAATTCTGTTTTTGGTAATTTTGTATCGATCCTCAATTTCATCCAACAACCAATAGGAATAGAGCATAGTGTAAATAATATATTTTGTGATCAAATAGTCCTTAAATGATAAAAATAACCAAAAAACTAAATGTATTAAAATTAACTCAATTTAAAATGATTTTTTTTTTTGAATATTTTATGAATAAAAAATAAAGACCCAAAATGACCGAAAATGATAAAAAACGGACGAAAATTTATCCGAAAAAATAAAATGAACACATTAAAATAATCTAAATGTCACAAAGATTAAAGAAAAAAATATTCAAGAAGTCAAAAATCGAAAATAAAATAATAATAAAAATATCAGACTAAACAGATGTTTAAGGTTAAAACGAGACTTCGAACTGTACCGAAAAAATAAAGCGAGCATACCGTCATAATCTACGTGAAGCGCAGATTCATAAAATGATCGGTAAAAGGTGAAAACTTGAAATATTTTCTCGCTATTTTCCCGCATAGCATCGAATCGCTTTTAACAGTCTGTCTATAAAACCGAAATATTTTATTATCGACATATAAACAACTTGGAGCAGTGCAAGAAAATAGTAAACGGATAAAAATGAATGAAATGAAATGTCGGGTATTTTACAACTGAAAGACAATGCAAACTTTGATTTAAACTGACTTTTTCTGGTCAATTTAAATACGACTAATGATGCAAAATGTGATGAATGAAGATATTTACTAATGATCGTGACCAAATAACAAAATATGATATGAAAGTGCGACTAAAACATATTAGGGGCGAAATTAAGGGTGCAACGGTTGTGCCTTGATGAATCAGTCTTCGAGAATCCACAATCAACCGTACTTCGGGCTTGGGGGACTCAAAACCTTAATTGAGGCGCGACACCTGATGCTCTTGATTCAGACCTGTCTCTACACATGAAGTAAAAGAAAACATGAACATACACCTTTGTATGCGATTAGAAATTAGTGATACATAGGCTAAAAATGTTCAAAACACTTGACAATCTTCGCATAGTCAAAGCTCGAAGGTGAGAGGTTAAAACCAACTGTATTTTGTGACCTTGAATTATCTTAAAATGCAAAAATAAAAATGGGATCTTAGGTCAAAAATTGGGGTACAACAGCAGTGACCTTGTAGTAGAATTCCCCTGCCTCTGTAACTGTTGGAGAAGGTATCTGTTGGGGAAGACATCTGCGGGGATTTTGTGAATGGCCCTTAGATATTATCCCGCTTCTTAAAGTCATTAGCAACTGTCTTTATATTTTTAGGTGTATATTTGTAAGCAGTAATCACATTAAAATGCATATGTTCAAGAATAACCAGTGGACATTTTTGCACACAAAACAGAAAAAATAAAAAATAGAAGTTTTGCACTTTCAAAGGAATAGTTTTGTATTAACTTGAAATAAGCGTTTTTGTACAAGGAGACAGGCATCCTAGTAAGAGAATGTTGTCATAAGAATGGAAATTATACAAAGATAGTATACAAAGAAAGACAGCTGTGGGAAATAATCCCATTAGGTTCCCATTCAACTATTGCCTTTATGTCCTTGAGCATCTCATCACTTTTGATGCTTGTCCAAATCTGATTGGATTGATTAGTACCGCTTGAGCTTGATAGTTAATACTGAAGATTGGATATAAGGTGATCCAATAGGACATAGTTATATGCTTTAAATCCATAACTTTTTCCTGGACCTCCCTTTCGGGTTTTTAGTCCACCGGGATACCCTTTTTTGCCCAAGCCGCCTTTTCAGGTTTTCGAGTCGCCGGGTGTACATATTTTTTTTATGTAAATCCCTAATTTTTTCTCGAACCTTTTTGGTTCACCGGGATGCCCTAATTTTTTCCCAGGCCAGTCGACCTAGCAGGTCTTTGTTTATGCGTAGTACCTTTTAACTATGTCCGCGTTTACAGGGTGCGGAAGGTCATCACCGTCCATAGTGGTTAAGATCATTGCTCCACCAGAAATTATGTTCTTGATCACAAATGGCCCTTCGTATGTGGGAGTCCATTTTCCCCTAGGATCACCTTGCGGCAGTACGATGCGCTTGATTACCAAGTCACCAACCTGATATACTTGACGTATGACCTTCTTGTTAAAAGCTTTAATCATATGTTTTTGATACATCTGGCCATGAGACACAGCCGCGAGCCTTTTCTCGTCAATCAGGTTTAACTGGTCAAGTTGATTCTGAACCCATTCGTCTTCGCTCAACCCTGCATATTTCATGATCCTTAAGGAAGGGATTTGTACCTCAATGGGCAGGACAACTTCCATACCGTATACCAAAGAGAAAGGAGTTGCCCATGTTGATGTCCACATTGTGGTGCGATAACCATGAAGAGCAAATGGTAACATCTCGTGGCAGTCTTTATATGTCACCGTCATCTTCTGTATGATTTTCTTGATGTTTTTGTTAGCTGCTTCAACAACACCATTCATCTTTGGTCGGTAGGGAGAAGAGTTATGATGATGGATCTTGAATTTCATGCAGAGCTCGGTGATCATAGTATTATTGAGATTGATACCATTATCTGTAATGATTCTATCTGGAATACCATACTAACATATAAGGTTATGTCTGATGAATCGAGCCACGATGTTCTTGGTAACAGAAGCAAATGAAGCTGCTTCGACCCACATCATAAAGTAATCAATGGAAACCAGGATGAAGCAGTGCTTATTAGAAGCTGTAGGTCTAATCTCTCCAATCATATCGATGCCCCACATTGCAAATGGCCAAGGAGCAGTCAAGACATTCAGAGGAACCAGAGGTATATGTACCTTATCAGCATAGATCTAGCACTTGTGACAAGTCGGCGAATGCTCATAACAGTATGCTTCCATAGTGGACCAGTAATATCTTTCCCGTAGGATCTTTTTAGCCATCATATGTCCACTGGAATGAGTACCAAAGGTACCTTCATGCAAGTCAGCCATAATCTTTTCTGCCTCACTCTTGTCTACACACTGAAGCAAGGTAGAGTCGTGATTGTGCTTGTAGAGGATCCCGTTACTGAGAAAGAACTTAGCAGAGAATCTCCTTACGAACTTCTCATCATTGACTGAAGCTCCCTCGGGATACTCTTGGGATTCGAGATATCTTTTGACTTCATGGAACCAAGGCTTATCCATTACTTCTTCAGTACCAATCTCATGACTGTAAGCTGGTTCATCCAATCTCTCAATGGTGATCTGAGGAGCTTTATTGTCCCATCTGACTTTGAACATGGACAACATAGTAGCTAACGCGTCCTCTAACTGATTCTCTTCTCGGGGAAAATGCTCAAAGGTAACCTCTTCAAAGTGTGGAATCAATGTGAGCACATGCTCTCGGTAAGGGATGAGATTTAGGATGCTTCGTGTCCTATTCTCCTTTGATTTGACTGATTACTAGGGCCGAGTCTCCAAATACACTCAAGAATTTGATCCTCAAGTCGATAGCATCTTTAAGACCCATGATGCATGCTTCATACTCAGCCATATTGTTGGTACAGTTGAAACATATCCTGGTAGTGAAAGGAGTATGAAAACCTTCAGGAGATATGATCATAGCACCGATGCCATTGCCAAGAGCGTTGGGAGCTTCTCCAAAAACCATAGTCCATCGGGATCCTTTTTCAGGTCCTTCATCTGGTCCAGGTTCTTCACAATCAGTTACTAGCATGATGTTCTCATCCGGCAACTCAAAATTCATGGATTGGTAGTCATCCACAGCCTGATGAGCCAAATGATCAGCTAGCACACTTCCCTTAATTGCTTTCTGGGTTGTATATTGAATTTCGTATTCGGTCAGGATCATTTGCCATCTTGCTATTCTTCCGGAGAGAGCGGGCTTCTCAAAGATGTACTTGATAGGATCCATTTTAGATATCAACAAGATAATGTGAGTCAACATATACTGTCTTAGTCGGCGAGCAGCCCATGCCAAAGCACAACAAGTTTTCTTGAGCAGTACGTATCTTGTTTCACAGTCGGTAAACTTTTTGCTAAGGTAGTATATTGCATGCTCTTTTC